TAACGGAAATTTTGACAATTTTGCCTTAGGAAGCATTACTGCCCCTAAAATGGATTTTTTACAGAAATCATTAATTGACATGATTTCTGATATGCTTAAATCTAACTCCATGTTTGATGCTATTCAAACTGGAGTAAAATTTGCAAACAATATTGTCATGACTTTAAAATTCAGTAATGGATTTTAAAGCATTAAATATTTTAAATTGGAATGCTCGATCTCTTAAAGATAATGAAGACGAGCTATTTAACTTTTTGAGAGTTCATAACGTGCATATTGCCGTTATAACTGAAACGTTTCTTAAACCTGACCATAAGGTTAAGAAGGAGGCAAATTATTTCATTTATAGAAATGATCGTCTTGATGGACCCTGTGGTGGCGTTGCCATGATTGTTCATAGACGAATCAAACATAAAATTCTTTCTTCATTTGAAACCAAAGTTTTTGAAACTTTGGGAGTTGCTGTTGAAACAAAATTTGGACAACTTACGTTTATAGCTGCCTATTTGTCATTCCAATGCGTAGGCCAGCAAAAGAATTTTCTCAAGAGTGACCTTCATAGGTCTAAATTCTTCATTATTGGTAATTTTAATGCAAAACACCGCTCATAGAATAATGCTCAAAGCAATTCCAATGATAATATTCTGTTTGATGATTGTTCTGCAGGTTATTACACTATTCAATATCCAAAAAGCCCAACATGCTTTTCTTCTGCAAGAAATCCCTCCACTATTGATTTGGTCTTCCAGAGATAGAAATTCTCACTCAGCTGCACGATAAGCATTTCCTCACTCAAGCTACTTTTCGGTGAGTTGTGAACCGTTCACATTTTCATCTCTCCTTTTTCACCGATAATTCATTATCCTCTCTCATACATAATCCGAAAATATCTCTCTTCAAAAAACAACGAAAATACTTTTTCATCACCCATTTGGCTCTGAAAACTACCAAGAGCGAAAAAAAATACCACCCCAAATTGTTCGGTTCCAATCCAATGTAATGTTAACAGTTGAGGCTTGGAAATTCGCCGTCTCGTTTGTTCTTCCGCTGATTAAATGGTTGACGGAGTGTGCCGTCATCCTGTGCTATCTATTTAAACAGCGGCAGAAGGAAAGGGACAACGATTTCACATAGCCTCACCTGTTTGCATTTCGTTTGATCCAAACATGCCTTTGCAAACCAAAGGTGAAATTAATTATGCTCTTGAATCTCTGACTACTGCTATAGTTGAAGCAAGGGCTGCCTCAGTTCCAAAATTTGCAAAAACAAATTGCAAGGAATTGAGGAACAAAACTTTTGAAAATAATGTTTCGAAATCAGACCCGAGTTCCAAAACCTTTTAGATGCACACAAATTTTTTGAAAAAAAACCCAAAAGCCTATTCCAATGCTTAAGGGAAAGTTTACCGCCCCGAAAAAAAAAATATTTTCTGCACGTTTTTATTTTTTCTAAAAATATTGAGAAGAAATATAAAATATCCAAGAAAATCAGTTTCTTCCTTATTTTTTCTCTTGATTTGTTTTCCGTCGATCTTGTTTTCCGTGCTGAGCACCAATGCTACCGACGCCAGGGAGGCAGCTCCCACACCTGGACTCTAACTATCGACCCATTAACTCATGAACCGGGGACCAACGGCTGTACTTCCCTTCCAAAGGAAGGCGTGATCAGAGATGTTATGCCTCAAAAAAACCCGGTGGCGACGACTGGGATTGAACTCAGGCCTACTGGGGTGCGAGGTAATCACGCTTATCACTCTACCACCGACGCTGCTGGTTTCTTCCTTAGATTTTTGTCAAAAATTACATGTAAACACATTTTTCTATCTTATCAAGAAAAAAAAAATTGGACTCTCAGCAAAACCGAAAAGTCGATGTTTTGTCGATGTTTTGTCGATGTTTTATGCCATAATGACTTATAAAAAATGTTTTTGCACATGAATTTTCTTTGAAAAATTAAAAAAAATGATTTTTTTAGATTTTTGATAGGGTAAATTATGGCTTCGGCACCCATTGACTGTTTTCGGCAACCGAAATTGAAACGTTAATTTCACTGTATTTTCCCATCAGAACTCTTCGCAGAATGTATTAATCCGATTCCTTACCTTTTCAGCTTCAATCTGATTACATTTTTACGATTGTGCAATCCTGTTATGCCATATTTTTCTTTAAATTAAATATACACACTACAAAATACGGCTGATTTCGAGTTGCCGATAATAGAACAGCTGGTTAACACGCAGTTCAAATGGAAAGGGTGCCGAAGAAAAAGAGACTGCCGACAATAGTCACACTCACCTGAGAAGTTTGGAGCGTTGTAAAAACATGTTCAACCCGTTTTGATCAATTCTGTCGATTGGAATTGGTAGAACAGCAAGCAGCAGATAAATGTCAACAAACAAACCAGTCATGTATGTGTGTGACGCTGAGAAATCGCTAATAGAAGTTCGGACGCTGCTTAGACTGACGAGAATACGTAAGTTCCCCTACTTTTTTTCCAATTTTTTTTAGAAAAATCAAAACGTAATTACTTTGACTAGGTATATGTTTTTAGTATTACTTCTACGTGAAGTCAACGATTTACATAGTTGAAGATGCTAATTTCAAATAACAGACTGTAGTGGTAATTTTTATACGATAGATGGAGTAGATGAAAGCATAGAGTTGATAGTTCCGTTAGAGTACGGCAGTGTGAAGATTGTATATAGATATTAGACAAGCGAGCTAGGACAACTTTTAAGGAAGGTACAAATCGGTTTTTTCATCTCTCTTTACCAAACTCCCCCTTTGGAGAGGGATGGTGAGGGGTGTCCCCCCCCCCCGCCACCACTGGCAAAAAGAGATGAAAACCGACCCGCTCATGTACCAACTGTGTGTTTGAAACAGTTCTACCGATTTTTTACCGCACTTGAAATTAGCATCTTCAACTATGTAAAACGTAATTATTTTTTTCGGAGCGGTGAGCTTCTCCTTAAAGAAGGTGGTAAAATTTTGATCACAAATTCGGAAAAAGCCCAGAAACTTGCTAAGTAATTCGAGAGTTCCCATAATTCCAGTTTGGGTCTTACCCTATTGAGAATCAGGTTGCTTGGGATTATCTGAATATTTTCTCTCGGGAAAATATTTTTGATGATTCCTGGGGGACTGATTTGGACGTAGTAAGATTTAAAACTAAAAAGTTTCATAATATGAAAGCTCCAGGTGATGATGGAATTTTCTATATCCTCATTAAAAAACTCCCAGAGAGTACCTTGTCTTTCTAGGTAAAATTATTTAACAGATGTTTCCATTTGGCATACTCTACTGATAAATGGAAAAATGCAAAAGTTGTTCCAATTTTGAAGCCGGGTAAAAATCCAGTTGAAGCTTCTAGCTACCGTCCAATAAGTTTGCTTTCTTCAATAAGTAAACTTTTTGAAAAGATAGTTCTAAATAGAATGATGCTTCACATCAATACGAACTCAATTTTTGCAGATGAGCAGTTTGGATTTCGCCATGGGCATTCAACTACTCATCAACTCTTAAGAGTTACCAATTTAATTCGTTCAAACAAATCTGAAGGCCACTCAACTGGAGTTGCTTTTCTAGACATAGAAAAAGCATTCGACAGTGTTTGGCATGAAGGTTTGATTGCTAAATTGAAAAAGTTTAATTTTCCACTTTATATGATGAAATTAGTTCAAAATTATTTAACTGACAGAACTCTACAGGTAAATTATCAAAATTCCAAATCTAACAGACTACCTGTTAGAGCAGGAGTTCCTCAGGGTAGCATTCTTGGGCCTATATTGTATAACATTTTCACTTCGGACCTCCCTGATTTGCCTCAGGGTTGCCACAAATCTTTGTTCGCTGATGACACAGGCATTTCCGCTAAAGGAAGAAGTCTTCGTGTTATTTGCAGCAGACTGCAGAAAAGTTTAGATATTTTCTCTTCTTATTTACAAAAATGGAAGATTTCTCCCAACGCTTCCAAAACTCAACTTATAATATTTCCACATAAGCCTAGAGCTTCCTTTTTGAAACCTAGTAGTAGTCACATAGTCACTATGAACGGAGTTCTAATTTCCTGGTCAAACCAAGTGAAATATCTTGGATTAGTACTTCACCAAAAATAACTTTTAAAGATCACATTGAGGGCATTCAAGCCAAATGTAACAAATATATCAAATGTTTGTATCCTCTTATAAACAGGAAATCCAAACTTTGCCTGACGAATAAACTTCTAATATTTAAACAAGTTTTTAGACCGGCCATGCTTTACGCTGTGCCAATGTGGTCTAGTTGTTGCACTACCAGGAAAAAGCACTTCAAAGGATTCAGAACAAAGTTCTGAAGATGATTTTGAAGTTGTCTCCCTGGTACAGTACTACCGAAGTACATAGAATTTCGAATGTTGAGACTTTAGAACAAATTTCCAACAAAATAATTAATAATATCAGACAAAAATCGTTGCAATCCTCAATTGCAACGATTAATTCCCTTTATACTTAGATTAGATTTAGTTTTAGTTTTTAGTTTTAAGATATCAATTGTTATACTGACATGCAGGTTTAAAAAACCTGTTTAAAATACTGAATTGACAGGCAGGAACAATGTAAAAACACTTAGATATGTATCATAACAATTAAGGCTGGTACATTACTGTTGTAGTTGGAGCACCAAGGTTAACATGAAATGTAATTTATTTTGAATTTGGAACAAATAAAGAGTTTAAAAAAATAGGTTCTAGCCAAACTTAATACACGGTCGCCGGTAGCCAGCGTGACAGTAAAAGTGGTGTTGTTAGAGAAATGGTGCTAAGTGAAGATAAACCCAGTTCCAGCCAATCGCTGATGAAAACCTCTATAATTAAGAAAAAGAACAGATAAGCTCAGTTTGGTGAGGATTTAACGCATAATAATCTATCAGTTATCAAGTAAGTATTACAATGTTAAGAACTTCGGATATGTGGATAAGTTAAAGCGGACAGTTTTCAATATTGCAATAATAGTAGTGTATTAATTATTTAGTTAGCATCCTAGAAATTATAATTAACGCTGTAGCCTTTTTCCTTCGATTTCCATTACTTGTCAATCATGAAGAAAATTTAATGAACGAATAATTTAGATATTTGAAATACAATAAGTAAATTTCAAAACATTGAAGAAAATGTATCAAAGCCAAACTAAACTTCGTTACCGGCGCTTCAGTTTCACCTAATGCTAAAAATTAAGGCAATTGTAGCCTCGAATAGAGGTTCCCCCAATAATCCTAACCGCTTTTATAGAACCTTAACTGGACAAATGAACACTTGTTGTCATTAGACTTTGTCAGCTTAATTCGACATTCACTACTAACGAACGGTAGCGCTAAATTTCAGTTAATAACTTGCTGCGGTTTGCAGTAAACTCTCTAGATATATATAGTCTGTAGGTTCGTTCATGCCTTCCACTAGCAATAATAACATCTTTCCAGCAAATAACATCCGCACCGCGATCCGATGCTGCGTTACGCAACATTTTCAAATTAATTTTCGTACATACCTACCGTGTTGCTAAATGCTACTTTTGTTTCATCTGAATCCAATTGCTAAACAGTAACCCCAAGACCAGGTTTAGTACCCAGTACATCGCTCAGCTTCTGCTGATACATGACCAACGTGTTCTGATCGACGATTCCACGGTTCTTGCAAACCAGGTGGAGGGCATTCAAGTATTGCATCTCGGTAAACTGGGAACCTTTTTCGATGATTGAAGTTAAAATTTCCTGTTGAAGAAGAGGGAAGAAATGAGCAATGATCGGCGGCTTGTACAACATAACTTGAGAAACTTACATCCGGCTCTAAGTAAAACATTTCATAAAACGATCTAGCATAATCTAGCGCAACTTCTCGTGATGCCGTGATGCTACTAAGAGTCTGTTGCAGGGCCAAAGCATTGCGACACATTCGTTGTACACCGGCCGTATCGATGTACTCCATCGAATTGGCTGCTATTATTAGAATGCGCGATGCCAGATGGGCCAGTCCTTCGAATACGTACTGAAAGAGTTCTATAAGTGTGATTTAAATCTTCAATTAGCTGAATTTTAAAAATGCCTACCTTAGTTTTCCTCGGATGCAACGTCGAACTCAATGCCTCGTCCATATCGGACAGAACTTTAGTCAACTTCAGCACTTTAGCGTCCGGTTCCAGCGAATCATTCTTATTAGGATTGTTCGGTTTGAACTTATCAGACGGGTTCGATTTCAGATAATGGAAGCACTGTACCCGCACTTCGAGATGCAACACCAGCAAACATGTATTTGCCAGCTCTTCAAACTCCAACGCAAGGTTCATCAGCACCTTAATCATACCGTCCTTAACGACTACCGGAGAGGCACTTACGCCTCCCACCAGCCCGTTTACGATCGGCTTCCGCAGTTCATCAGCAAAGTCCGTAATTTGACCGGCAAACCATTCCATACTTTCCTGCAGAATGGCCAATTCTTTCAGCACGCCGACATCGGAGAGGATTTCCTGCTGGGAAATTCCTCCCTCGCCTAGGTTGCTCGTTAGCATTTCGGCTTCGCGAACATTGCGCTGCTGAACTGCGGTTGGGCTTTCCTCTTCCGAAGCTTCCGGCTTCATGAGTCGTTTCTGGCCGGATTGTTGCTTCAGTCGGGCGTTGGAAGTTTTCAGATCGGTCCAGTTTGGAAGAGATCTGAAATTGAAGTCGGAGCATAGTAGAAGTAGTAAAATTACGTTGGAAAATAACATTGATTATGATTTTACATTGTTCGTACATTCCAATGGATAAGCCTGAAGGGCTCTTCATCTTTGTTTAATTTATTATTCTAATTTACGTGTTTACGTTTTTCAACGAACTTGTTTACATAATACCCCTTTGGAGTGCGTTTTGATTGAATTAAAAAAAATGATAACCTACATAACTACTAATAATTAGTAAGATCGCGTATGATGTGCTGATTTGACAGGCGTCTCTGAACCTTTCGAGGATGAGCGTGCTGCGCTTCTCTAGTGTCTGAAGACCAGCCAGTTGGTGTAACTCAGAATTTACAGTCCACGGGGGACTGTTGAGGATCATCCTAAGGATCTTTTTCTGGATCCTTTGGAGTTTGAGGTGATGCCACTTTGCACAACTCTCCCAGATTTGTGTTCCGTACTCAATGGCAGCAAATTTGTTTTTAAGGGAAACTGTGGACTTTCTGTTGATAAGTGGATAGAGCGACCTAGATGTTGTACTTGATGGATGATTTGTCCACATGGGAACGGAACAGCAACTTGCTACAAAACCGAGGTGAATTCGAGTGCGGAAATAGTATGGTCTGTGTTTTAGCTGTATTAATACAAATCTCCCAGCTTTTGAAATAGTCGTACAGAACATCTAGGCCTGACTGGAGTTTTCTCGTCAGATCACGGCCGCAAACATTGACAAAATACCACCACTCGGAAGGGAAGGAACATCTTACGTGAAGATGTTGAAGAGGATAGGACCAAGTAGGCTACCCTGGGGTCCCCCAGCATCAAGGTATCAGAAGGTGAATTGTTCCTGAAGTCCTGGAAAGAACTGCCCACAAGTAGTTTTTAATCATCTTAACAAGGAAAATCGGGAATTTGTATCGATGCAGCTTGTAAACGAGGACATCATGCCAGACATTGACGAACCCCTTCTCAACGCCCAACGCAAATGTCCATGGCAAATGTGTTGGAAACGGACTTCTGCTTGATGATGTTAGTAACCCGTTCGAGATGGTGGATGGTAGAGTGGCCTTTCCTAAACCCGAATTGAGCAATATGTTATTATCATTTGAAAATACCAGCAGACGGCTGAATATCAATTTGTCTAATAGCTTTGAGATTGAGGGCAAGAGGCTTATATCATAGAGGTAACTCTAAGACTAGTAGGTCTCGGACAAACGAGCTCTACTTTTTGGCTCAGCTCTGGTACTATCTTCGGTCCCAAGCTAGTCGATTCACCCCTCGAAACATAGGAAAATCCAATAACCCCTCATTTTATCTGTCAAACTTTCATAGCGAATCAAAACAAACATTGTGAAGTACTAGAATTTTGACAAGAATGGGGTACGTTAATCGATTTGCTTGGGACCAATAGGCTAGTCAAGTAGTGAGCCAATTTAAAATCGTTAGTTTCGTATTGATTGTTGCTTATATGGCGATAGCTTTTGGCACTGGTAGGGTCTTTGCCAGGCTTGTGGATTTGAATGACTTTGGCTAACTTCCAGCATGCAGGGAAGTAGCCAAGTTCCAAACACTCATTGAAGACCGGTGCAAGGTGCTCGAAGAAGTCCACACTCAATTTATCAACTCGAGGTTGACCACTCTATCGACGCCAGCGACCTTCATGTCCTTGGTTGATTTAATGACTGCTATAACCTCATCAGCCGATTTTCTACTTTCACGAGGGACAACTACGGGGGTGGCTGCGACTCTAGATATTGCCTCTGATAATGTAGGCTCGTAGAGGCTAACCATGGCTTCGCCAAGTTTATGTGAATTCACAAAGCGTTGACCAAGAGCATTGGGCTTATCAACTGGGATTATGAGTAAGGATGGATCCAAAATCTGATTAAGTGGGGAAAAGGAAGGGATGGGCTTTTTTTAATCTTTGCCATTTTCCAGAACGTCTTAGCACAATCTAGGAGAGAGCGAATCTTGTTTGCAAAATCGTTATTTCTTAGATCCACCATTAGGTTGTCAGCACAGTACACTGGTACTGCCTACGATACGAATAGTGTTGCAAAGTCCAATGAGGTCTTTAGTGGGCCTGTCAAGGTTCAGAGTAGAAGAGTAGAATAAAAAATCCATATCCGAACGATAACTTGAATGATAAAACTATTCCACAAATGGTTTGGATGAGACCCTGAACACGTCGTTAAACAAAATAATCATACAAATTTTATGAGGGGAGTGCAGACACTGGTCGATTTCGTCGGTCATTTCCGGCTGGACGTCATAGTCGATACTGATGTCAACCCAGCATTGGAACTGCGCCCAGTCAACGCGGTGATAGCTGCGTCGGGAAACTTCGAATCGGTTCAGGGAGGAACCCACGTCGACCATCACCGGATAGTGGTCCGAGCTGAGTTCTTGGTAAACCACAGGTTGCGAGATGTTGGCCAGGTTGCCGATGGTCACCGGGCCAACTCAACTGGGTGGGAGTGTCCAGACTCAAGATGTTGTACTGCGCTGCCTGCAGGTTGTACATGATGGTGCCGTTTTGATTGCGCCGACTGTTACCCTAAGCTTGATGTTTGGTGTTCAGGTCGCCAGCGATGATGAAGTTCTCCTGCCGTCGTGTTAGCTTGACAATATCTAGTCGCACGCATCTTATAGGCATTTTTTCCTTGATTTGTTTTCCATACTGAGTACCAATGCTACCAAAGCCAGGGAGGCACAGCTCCCACAGCTGGATCCTGGACCCTACCTATGGACCCATCAACTCATGGACTTCCTGTAGGCGTGATCAGAGATTTTATACCTCAGAAAATCTCGGCGGCGCCGACTGGGATTGAACTCAGGCTTTTTAGGGTGAGAGGCAATCACGCTTACCACAACACCACCGGCGCCACTATCTTATATGCATGATTTTGATTAATTGAACAAGTAGTGTTTCGAACCGATTTCAATGATCGTAGACGTTTATTACGGATAGTATCAAATTCTTTATTCTTGGAAAATTACACGCAATTGCAAACTCGGGGTTACAAGAATAATTCTTGTTTTTCTTTCCCATCCTTCTTCCCTTCCGTTCTTTCTCTCTCTTAGCGCACAGCTCTGTCAACGGCTGCAAATTCCAGGATGGTATCCATTTCATCAGTCGCATCCCACAGGCTCCCCCCAGTTACACCAAAAATCTAATCCGCTGTCCTGTTGGTGTAACTTTAGTTCGGTGATCGTCCGAAGGATGATGTTCCAAGTCAGGGTTGCATATAAAAGCAGGTTTAATCCGGTCGATCGAAATGCGCTGAGTCTTCCCAGATATGATGACATCCATGTATTTATCAGTTCGCTGTACTACCAACAATCAATACGAAACTAACGATTTAAAATTGGCTCACCACTTTAGTAGCCTATTGGTCCCAAGCAAACGATTAACGTACCCTATTCTAGTTGAAATTCTATTACTACACTATGTTTGTTTTGATTCGCTATGAAAGTTTGACAGATAACATCAGGGGTGTGTGGATTCATGCAGAACATGCAGGGGTGAGTGAAATAGCTTGGGACTGCTTGGGACCGTTGTTCTGGTACTGAGTGAGCCAAAAATAATAATGATTTTCTTCGGGACCCAGTGATCTTAGAGTTACCATAGATGTTACGATGTCCTTGTGATGGTGGCAGAGGTCCAACAAGGTCGATATGAACGTGCCTAAATCGAGCCTTTGGAAGATCAAAGTCCGGTAATTTTACACCTACTGCTGCAGCTTGATTGTTGGGCTCCGGGTTAGCCATTTTGAGGTTAGTTTCATACGATTTTCCGAAAAACGGGTCTTTGTGATCGAAACGGGTATATCGACCGGATTCGAAAGGTTTCGCGACGTCGCGGGTTACCAATGTGGTGTTTCGAACCGACTTCAATGATCGAAGACGGATAATATCAAACTCTTTATTCTTGGCAAATTACACGCAATTGCAAACTCGGCGTTACAAGAATAATCCTACTTTTTCCTTCCCCTCCTTCTTCCCGTCCTTTCTCTCTCTTCGCGCACAGCTCTGTCAACGGCTGCAAATTCCAGGGTGGTATCCATTTCATCAGTCGCATCCCACAAACAATTAGAAATCGTCAGAGTAATTACTAATCAACCAGAAGAATAGCCAAAATACCCTGAAAACATTGAATTTAAGATCTTTGGAATAATTCCTGATCATCCGACTTTCGTGCAAGATCTTAAAGGCATGATTCGATTTATTGAACAATTAAAAAAACTGCAAAATAATAACTTAACTAGAAAAATTGCCAAGATATCCATAGAAAATTATGCGGGTTATGTTTATGCGGCCATGGTTTTCCATTGGTTTTCTTTATTCCTGATTACGTTGGAGGAACAAAATATGACTTGATATTCCTGACAAATGGAGTAACGATCTTCCTTATTAGTTTATACGGTTCCTAAAGGTTTCCCAAAAAAAAGTACGCTGGAGAAGGGTGATCTAAAATCTCTCAAAAACTGTTTACGTAGTTAAAGCACAGCCTCTTGGGAGCATTCGAATATAGTTTGGTGTTCTGCGGATATGAGCCGGAGAAATATGATCTTAGAAAGCAAATTGTAGGCCTCGGTAGTTCTCACATTTTCCACCTGTAAAATTTAAGCTGATTGTTCTACAGAACTAAAAACCGTGTGCCTAATGCACTTCTTTGAAACGTATTGCACTTGCACCACTAACTCAAAACTACTTCAAGGGAGCTGATCTATTACTGATTGGATAATTGCTGACTTGATTGCAGAACTGATTTATTGGCACCGACAATCGGATGAAGTCTAGTGCAAGGAGCTTTGACTACAAACAATCCAAAATCACGTTTCTCCGTCGTGACCAGAGGAATGATGAAATTTCAGTTCCAAACAGTTTGTAATACCTGCCGCTTCCACATTCATCACATACTGCACGATCAAAAAATGTAAGCCGGGAGAATTTCCATAGCTCATACTCACTTGAGGAACCTGGTAATATCATCGTCCTTAAGCCATGCCACGCTGTAGATTCGTTTGTCCTCCGTTTCCGGTTGCACAATGCCACGGTACGCCGCCTGACACGTTTCCCGATAGGTCTTCAACAGCGAACAAACCATCTTCAGCAGCTCGTCCGAATAGGTCGGCAGATCTTGTATGAGTCTTTTGGTCTCGGAAATTCCTGGAAGACAGAACTAATCAACATCACGGGACTGAAATCGATTTCGATTGCATCGCTGTGCTGGCCTCTACGTACGGTTCTCAACCAAAACAGTATTTTGCAGGAGTGGTCTAGTCAGTCCTAAGCGTTTCATTTCTTCAGGAGTAATTATCGAACGCCAGGCGTCCTGTGTTTTCGAGAGGGATTCAATCGTCAGCTGCAGGTTGCGATTGTGCCCCCGGGCTAGGTAGGCGTCCTTTACGTAGTTGGCAAGGAAGCTGTTCAGACTGCACGATTGCCTGAAATTTAATTAAATTTGGCATGATTTGCTTTCCTTTTATTTCGGTAGCACTTACCCCGATTTGCATTTCATGAATCCTTCTATCTCATGAACATAGCCCATCATTGGAAGATAGATTTGCCGCACCAACCCGGCATCGGGTGTGCACACGAGAGCACGCTCTCTCTTCTTGCGATCCGCTCCGGGTGTCCCCGGAAGGTGTTTATTAAAGCTGGTGTTCAACAAATTTTGCCCATTGACACCGGATTGGTTCAACACGTCATCCTTGTTGGGAGTATTGTTGGACACGTTCGACGCATTGCGACGGTGTTCCTTAGCACTCGAGTCGGACTCCAGCAAAGCCGTATGCGAAGACTTGTCAAACTTGAACAGCATCTTTTTACCTTGAACCTTCCGTCGACTGAAGAAGGTGTTGATGTTTGTCGTTTGCTCCGTAAACTGTGCCCGCATCAGTTCATCGCTGCTGTCGTTCTGAATGTCCAGATAGTCCGTCAACACTAGCTTGAGAACCGCTTGCGCCTGTCCCCAATATTCGATCAGATCGTAAGCCTTCACCTGGTTCAAGCTGTATCGATGCATAACGTTGTGGTAGTTTTTCAGCGTCAGTTGATGGGCATTGGCTATCAGTTTGAACTGCTTGAACACCAGATCCAACAACTCCAGGATGGGAATGTTTTGCTGGGGAAGCTCTTCGGTGCTGGTGTTGGGCGCCGCTTGGTATTGCTGATACTGATATGGGTTCTGGTTTTGTTGCTGATTCAGAGTCATGATGTGATGCGTGGATTTGGTGACGATCGTCAGTAGCTCGCTTTGCATTTGTACTCTTAAAGACTGCAAGAGAGGGAGGTTAAATTATCTGAGAAGCCGGTAAAAAAAAATCCGGGTTTACCTCTATCGATTCAGGCACTTTATTAAGCAATGCAAAGCACTCAATGATGATTCCAATGAAGTAGGTGCTATTGACATCCGGATCCAGCAGATCGGTGTCTTCGATGATTTCACTCTTATCGACGTCGAGGTAGCCTAGAATGCAATTGATTAGAAATTTCAGGATATAAAAAAGTTATCATCAATCGAAACCAACCATTTTGAGCGATTTCGAACAGCGCTTTTCTAGCCTTCGTATTGGCTTCCATCCTTTCGGCGGAACGTCTCAGTACGTTTCTTTGAAATGGGGAAGTCCCGGCTGCAGTGCAGCTAATCCTGCCGGAACTTTGCCGCTGGAAGTTCTGCAGCACTTCTGCCGTACTCGAAACGTACAAATGTTTGCACAGTTCATCCAGCAACCGAGAGTACAGTTGTTGCCGTTTATTTTGGAAATCCTGACGAAGATCCTGTAGTCCCTCAACGTCCTTCAAGGGACCTTCCGTGGTTTTGACCGCCGACATCAGCAGTTTTGTTGCATGCAGATAATGCTTCTTGGCCATGAAAGCTGCCAGCTGTTGAGGAGTCTTGCGCAGCTCGTTGACCTGATCCAGCATCTCTAGCACGTACTTGTGCTGCACCGCATCGGTGTAGAGTTTCTTCAATTCCTCCCGACGACATCGTAGCAACTGCTTACAGGTCTGTAAATTGTCCTTCACTACGTGGATCCGTTCTCGGGAGCTAGTTATCTGGGTGGACACCTTTCCGAACAACTGCATGACCCTCGTGAGGTCGCCATCATTTCGCGAGACGAGTTCGTTCAACCGTTGATCTGTCTTGCGGAACTCCTTTTCGATCTTGAGCTTTTCGCGCTCCCGCTGCTCATTGGTTTCGCTGGCATCGAGGGTTTTAATCACCGAAACCAGCAGTCCGCAACCGCTCTGGAAAGAAAAGATGATTCGAATTCAGATGTATGTACATACATTGCTTCGAAGAACGAAGGTTGAAAGTTCGATAAAACAATCAGGTACCTAAACCTGCCACGATTGCTGTATAGAAAATTTGGAATGATCACCTAATGGTTCTGCACCCCATGCAATCACTGTATATTCACAGACAGTTGTAAATAATTATCGCATCAGGGGTTATTGAAATCAATTCTATTATCAAGAATCCTTGTCTTCATTGAGTTTCAATTTAGCCATATTGGCACAGTACGAATTCGAGCCAAATGATGTCATCAATCACAATCAGTTCATATCAACCATCAAAAGATTCGGAAAATTCTCATACATACTGACTTATTCTCATCATAACTTCACGCAAGCAAAACAAAAATCTCACCATTATACTCTATTCAATGGAAACCGCCTGCAAATTGTGCAATCGAATAAATTGACGAGTTGTCGACGCCGAAAACGGGGCGTAAAAAACACATCCAAACTGAACACCACCCGCAGCAACAGCACCAGCGCTTTCTCCGTGTTTGTAGTTAACCTTCTATTAATAATTTAAATAGGTGACCGTTTGCTTTATTCTTCCAAAAACACACGACACGAACTGCAATATTACGGTAACACTAATAATATCCAATCGGTTTTATAGGCACAATAATGTAATGCATTCGATAAGGAATTCCAGCAAAACCACCGCTATTTAGTACTTTGTGTGTGCAATTTGAAATGAAAGCAAATTTTATGAATGACACTGATGACATCACTTATTATTCTTCTTCTTGCGCACTGCATCAACTTCATCATCATCTTTGTTTGTACGCCAAGTTGGCTCAAGAAACCTACAGCATTGTTGCCATTTTTTGAGATTTTTTTTTTGCTGATCGGCTTGATTTCAAGAGCAAATTTTCATTTCGTTGAAAGTAACGTTCGTACCGAAGCGAGTAAAACCTAGAGGTGAGGTGGCTCTCATTTACGAACAATCGTTGCCTACCATGCATAACTGGTTCCAAACGACAACAAAGCCATAAGCAATGATGGTTTGTTGGTGTTTGGAACTAAAATCACATATGGAAAATCAATCGGAGACAGGCCCAGTAAATTTGTCGTCTCTTTCGTTCTCCGGTTGATTATATGGACAACGTCACACTCCTTCAACCGTTTAAACAGCGGGAGAACGAAACCCTAATAAAAAATAACCATAAACGAACGATAACCCAAATCATTGAACTATTCCACAAATGGTTTGGATGATACCCAGAACACGTCGTTAAGCAAATTAACCATACAATTTTTATTAGGGAAGAGATTATAAATTCACTGAGCCTTACATATTTACATCTCATCGATGGATGTTCAGTAGGCTGATCTGACAGCACATCCCACCCCTGAGAAAAACATGGTTTTATTTTGATGATAGACAAGTTATTTCTATTTCCAATTAAATCCTGGTACGCAGCTTAAATTAAACCGGAAAAGTAATTTTTGAGCAAAACTAAATTTGACGCATCTTTTGCTGAATGTTGAGATCACAGCGAGGTTTCGTTAAATTTTAAAATCAACAATTAGTTTTTTATGTTGTTGGAATTATAGACAGCGTTGCCAGCATTCCAGATTTATCTGGATTTTCCAGATTTTTAGTCGCCTTGCCAGATAGACAGACAGACCACGTATATTTCCAGATTTTTTAATATGTTCCAGATTTTCCCAGATTTTTTAATTTGCTCTTTCCTCTAATAAAAAAAATAAAAAGCCAAATTTGCTACTTTAATTTTTCAAGTCCATCAACATTGGACATTATTGGAATTTTATGGTAATTCTGAAAATAGTTCACAGTTAAGTGTGAGGCGAATTCTTGGTGAAATCAAAGGTGAATTTCAAGCTACTTCTGAGTAGAATTACATCCATCTTTGTGGGCTTCGAGGTCGTGCGGCGTCACCCATCATTTTTGTGAGTGCCACGAAGTGAGGGTTCGATTCACGCTCGAGCCGGGGCAAATTATGGCAACCTCAAAATTTGCCTACTGTCCTAATGGTAATGGGTGTGGTGTATTTTCCGTTGTTTAATGTTAAATATTCAGTCTGTGCAACCTCTGGTTGAAGACGGTGTCAATTGTCTTGTCAACTCTTATGACAATTGCATGGAGATTTTGTCAATAAAAGAAATTTCAATCCGGAAAATAAATCATAGAAAATTCTTATCATGAAACTTAAGGAGTATGCTGATACGAATCGCGAGAATAATTTCAATGGAATTCTGTCCAATGTTTCTATGGAGATTAATTTTATAACAATTTAATTGCAATTTCTGGGAGACTTTCAAAACCATTTTGGCAAAGTACTTGAGTACTTGGGTAATACTGAAAAGGATTTCTTTTTTTTTTTTATTGGGTTTCAAGCTGGAGCTGCGTGACAGCTTAATTTTCAAGACTTGACCCATTTGAATAAATTTTGCTTCTATCTTTGACAATACAGCAGAAGGACTAGTCTATGTTGGCCGCTTGAACACTGGATTCCGTATGTATTGTTTCAAGATAGTTATAGAAAAAATGCTGTGACGTGTGCGCGTAGATACATCCGCGTAGTAAATCGATTGAATAAGTAAATCCGTTTCGAACGAAATATCTAAATTATGTAAGTTACGAAAACCGCGCGAATTCCGAAAGCCGTGCGAGACAACCGAAGCGAGAAAAAAAGGCTTATTATCATTTAAAGAGTGCCACCAAAATAAATGTGATAGCCTATGTTGGCAAGTTGATTAATTTTGGTTTCCTCCCTAGATATTCTACTTATTTACTACTGAGCGTTGTATCAAATTAGTTAATTTAAAGAACGTATCAATCATTTCAATATTTCGCGACCGAACAAATTCTATACTAAATAAGCTAAAAAGCGATTGACAAACTCTACCGAATTGCGTATCACTTCTGCGTAAGCTCCGTAGACGTAGGCGCGTTGAATCCGACAGTCGGCAAAGGTTTAACCTGTACCAACACCGCTTAAGGAACGACCTCGAGTCAGTGAAACCGTTTATAGCTAAACATCTAAATTACGTAAGATACGAAAATCGTGCAAATTGTGAACGCCACGCGAAACAACCGTAGAGAGAAAAAAACAACTTATTATCACTTAAAGAGTGCCACCAAAATAAATGTGATAGCCTATGTTGGCAAGTTGATTAATTTTGGTTTCCTCCCTAAATATTCTACTTATTTTACTGTTGAGCTTTGTTTCAATTTAGTTATTTTACCGCACGTATCAATCATTTCAAGATTTCGCGACCGTACCGAACAAATTCTATACTACAGAAGCTCAAAAAAAACTGGTAAGCTCTACCGCATTGCGAATCACTTCTGCGTAAGCTCCGTAGACGTAGGCATGTTGATTCCGACAGCCGCGAAAAGTTAAACATGCATCAATACCACATAAGGTAAGATCGATTTTACGTATGGTTTAGTTCATAGATTAACATTGATTGCTGTTTAAAAATGTAAGTACTTGAACACTAAGAAGTAAGTTAACTCAAATGCTTTAACCGCATAAATAAGAGATTTCACGTATTGAGAGAATAATATAGTAATCGAGTACAACAAACTCAGGGGAATACAATACCTCCAAAAGTTTAAAAGCTATTAATTGTCACATACCTCTACTTTTACTTATTTCCTAAACTATTCCTCTCCTTGTTAATCTGCTTAATGCTATTGGTCTGCCTGCGTTTTCTTTTTAAAGTTCAAGACTAAATAAGAAGATTTATTCTACAACTTTAAAGGTTAATTGCCTCCTTAAGCGGACCCTCCGCATCCTAATTCTTTTGTTAATCTACTTAGTGTCATTAGACTTTTTTTTTTCCTTTGGTTTGTTTTTTCCGTCGATCTTGTTTTCCGTGCTGAGCACCAATGCTACCGACGTGCCAGGAAGGCAGCTCCCACACCTGGACCCTACCTATCGACCCATCAACTCATGAACCGGGGACCAACGGCGGCGCCGACTGGTATTGAACCCAGGCCTGCTGGGGTGAGAATTAGACTTACTGAAGTTTCTTATTTAAGTTCATTTGATGATTATGATATTTCAGTAGTCTAATTTAATAGATTATCTAAAGCTCTAATTCACCTAATCAATCATAAACCATGCTTTATTAAGTACCTGCACTTGTGCTTGTAATCTAAAATTAAACGTGTTTGAAGTAATTTAGATTTAAGCCTATACGTATTTATTATATCTTAGTTCGACCCAGATAACACCTTCATGTGACTAAAATGCTTCATTTTGAAGTCAGTTTCCTAGCTGATTTTTAAATTATATAGGGTATATGCTCCAATTACGCTCTCACGTTTCCACTATGTCGCACCACAAAAATACATATGGGTATGTCACAATAGAAGCACACCACAGTGGAAATCCCGAGCCATAGTTCAAACATTTATCCCAAATCAAAATGAAGCACATATAAGATTAGTTACAATACCATGTACAAAAATGATGTTTAACATTGTTTCCTGAGTAATACTTCAATGAAAACACCAATGAAAGCTTGTCACGCAAATAGAAGGAGCACCGTTGGGCACTTTCTGAAATATTTCAATGGTATAATTTCCTTGCAAACCCAAATAAATCTATCTGCGTAAAAATAAATAAAATAAGAGTGATTTGCGGCAAAACCCGCCAGTATCACACCCAACGTCAGTGCCTATACGTAAGCGTACTACGACGCGGCTCTCAATCGAAGGAGTAACAAGTGTGATACTATCACTGCTAGACTAGATCTTTGGTTCACTCATGCAGTGGTTTATCAGAGAGGGGAAGCCTAGTAATCCCCATTGCCTGCCCATGACGCCATTCTACCGCGGCATGAGCCAGCAAAGCCGACCATAAACCTACCGTCTCCAACACTCCACTATAAAACATGAAACTATAAAACTATAAAACAGCAAGGTGCAAAAACTAGCCAAGGGGAGGGAATACTGAAAAGGATTTCAAACCAATTCTAACCTTACCTACAAAGCAGTTTAAAGGGAATTATCCAGGGGGGACGACACTTCAGGATTATCCAATTTTTACCCAAATCACTCCTAAAATTTTCAACGTGCACAAAATTTCAATCCATCCTATCTATCCTTTCTATTCCCAACTTATCCCTTCTGCATGCACACAAATCATCAAGCAAGCCGTGCAGTTTTCAGGTCGATCGCGAAGCACTGTCAGTTTTCAACAATCTCAATAATAAACATGGTGTTAAAACAATTTGATATTCGTTGAGTCGTTCAAGGTCCTGGCGAAGCTGGTGGAAATGAATTAGGGAATAAATAGTACGAAGGTAACCACCACGTATATCTATGCTGAAGGCCAAGGATGAAGTGATTTCTCGATTGACAAATGAGAACATCTGAAATAAGAAGCAGTTAAAATCGTTAAACTGTTTATTTTTTAATCTGAATTTGAAAGAATTAACGAAACACACTCGATTCAGTCCAATGGAAATGAAAAGAATCATAAAATTGAAACTGAACCCCAAATTTTCAAACGTTGAATGTGAAAATTCACAGATTTTGAGTGGTGCCAGTATTGCACGAATCCGACGATATATCTCGCTCTTTCATTTGTGGAGAGTCGATCGAATATTATAGGGCAGGTGTGGGATGAGCAGGATGACCAGTGAACCGGGAAATCGGGAAAAAGCCGGAAATTTTAATGAC